TCAAGCATGAGTTCACCGCGGGCCTTGATGATAGCGTCGTCAACAATAGAAATACACTGCTCCCTCAGAGACTCAATCTCTGCGGTCTTCTCGGCCAATTCACGCCTTAACTGCTCCAACTCACGCTCGCTATCCCTCAGACGCTGCTGAAACTCTTGCTCGACCTTCCGGGCCGCCACCTCCTTCTGGCGCAGGCTGGCGTTGGCCTTGGATACATCCTGTATTCATTTCTCCTACGCCACGATAGACTTCCTCAAGTGAAGACTGCTAGTGAGTACCTGCACAACAAAACATTGCCATCAAAACGAGATTCAGAAACAAAATCATTAAATACTACTGTAATACCTGAACAGCGTGGGCTACTCCCCAATCAGCCACAGCAACTGCACCCATCTAGTTAAGACGCGCCTCGTCCATCGAGAACAAAAATGAATCGACCAACTTACTCATGGTAGTCGCATCAGAGTAAGTCGACGCATTAGCCGAAATCGTGATGGTAATCATCCCGGCCTCTTCATCCATAACTCCGGTCTGGGACGACCCGGCTCCAGTTGCAGGCTGTTGGCTCGGCGGCGTCGGGCGATAGATTCGCTCGCGCTCGGGACAGTCAACTTCTTCATCAGAGACTCTACAAGTACAAACTCTCCAACGGTTAGTGGGTTCAGCCTGGACTCACCAAAAATGATATGGTTGCAGTATTGACTCAGAAGCACATCCCAAGTCTGCTTCAGCAAGGGGAAGGGAGTACCTCTCTGTATTGCCTCTACTTCGGCCCAAAGAATGCTGGTCCTCAGGTTGGATTCTGCTAGCACTACTCGCCAATCCCTCTGCTCTAATGGGATGGCTAGCACTCTCTGGGTCGCTATGTCCAAGCCATCTCCACTCTGCCCAGCCCGATTGAACTCAAGCTTTGCAAACAAAAAGCATAATCAAGATTTAGTAATCAAAAGTACGAAAGAAACAACTAAGTTCTCACTAGTAGCTCGCCAGCCGATCGGGATCTCACCCTGACCTCTCTCCCAAAAAACAGCCTGACCCCTCAGGTAGAAGTATCGGTCCTTCCAATTCTTATCACTGGATCGTAAGTCGATCACCAAGTGAGACCGATCGTGCCTCAAGTTCAACAGATAACGACCCTTCTCTTTATCGTTCTCCTTCAAGAAATACGAATATAGTCGTTCGTGCAGCCCAAACCTCACTTGGTTTCGAACATAGAGGTCTTCCAAGGCCATCAGCAATCTCCAAGCATTCGGCATAAGCTGAGATGGGGCAATCATGAAGTGGTTCAGTACCTCCCACATAAGGCAAGGGACGGGTCGCCTCAACCCATCGTGAAACCACTTCTCATAAACACTGATCCAGCCCTTTGCCTCCCAGTGATGATGCAACCGAACTTGGAATGTGATACAAGGTTCGGATGCACTGCACATCACTATCTTTCAGCATGAGCGGATAATCTCTAGTCAAAATCCCGCTGCCCTGTTGGCTCGGCTCTTCCTTAGAGCCACCTCCGGAGGAGGATGGACTACTAACTCTTTCGGAGTCTTCCCCACTTCCCTCATGCCTACCTGAATCACTCGGGCCGAGAGTACTTGTACCTGGGGCAGCTACACTAACTTCAGTCGGTAAGCCTGTCGGAACGATCCCCTCAGGCATCATCACTGTGGTGGGGGCATGCTCATACTCATCCCCGGCATCGACCACAATTTGACTCGAACTTGCCGATTCAGTATCTGACATATCGCCTCGATCGTCCGTCCCTACCGACTGACTCGTTTCTCAATTTGGAATCCTCAACCGTTAAAGAACCACTCGCCCTAAGTACCAACCCAGCTATCGATCGCCCTTCAACACCGTTTAACTCCCTTGAAAATCACTCCTAAACCTCGGTCAACCCTCCCTACCGAGAGGTCCAGAAACTCTCAGACAGTCGCTCGCCCTACCTAACCGACCGACTGAACCTCGTCCTTGAGTCTTAAAAACGTTAAGTGACCGACCCACTCGACCCTGTGGGTCTGCTCGACCTTACTCATTGACCAACTCAAAACGACCCGCTTGGTCTAGACAACCGACCGCCCTTCCACTACGCATGCCCTATCCACTCGGACGGACCAGACGACCCACCTATGACTTCCCAAACTATCGCCCTATTCGGTCGGGCAGACTGACCGAGTCAAGCAACACTGTAACCCGACTTCTTCTTCCTCCTTTTTCCATCCTAAATCCCCGAAAACACCCAAAAAACCAGAGAAAGTCACTGGAAAGCTATCAGAATCGAAGCCTACTTTACTAAACCTATTTTGAACACCTCCAAACACCTCAAACCCAGTCAAAATGGCACGAACTTCAAACTATTTTCTAAAAACACAACAAAATCTACCAAAATAGACACAAGGAAACATAGAAACATCACGAGAATAAAATATTTACCGTGAAAGGAGCCAGAGTCTGCCATGATAAACTGCCGTCATTAAAAAGAAACTAAAAACGCAGAAGAAAAAACTTTGGTTCTGCAGAAAAATAGAGAAAAACTGCAAATGGGAGACGAACGACCTACTATTTCGATTTTTAAAGGGCAATCAGACAGATAAAGACACGTGGCATCTCGCGATTGGCTGATAGTCAAAGCAACTCTTCGTTTTCTCACCTCGAAAATAAGGAGTCGATCCCCACCGAACACGTGGCAAGCATCCGAGGCACCTAGAAGATCGCGATACCGTATGAGAGCCGTACTCAATCGCTCTGCCTTACCGACCGATTGATCAGCTTGGAACGGCTCATTTCGAGCCCTGTTCAGAACAAAGAGGCCTCGCCCGTTCACCCTTCCGTAGCGGACGAAGGAATAACCTTTGGTCAAGCTTCGTGTATCTCATCCACTCGATCGTCCACGCATACCGACCGAGCGAATATTTGTAGATAAATAAACTCCCTACCTCACTCGACCCGACATGCCGACCGAGCATCCAGGCCTTAGAATGATCTAACCTCTCCAATCGGTTGGACGTACCGAACGATCCCGTGAGTTCCGGAATTTGCTTCTCATACCCTTCGGCCCCTCACACCGATTTGGCACACCACCTTGCAATGATGGCCTACTCCGGATCATGTACGGATACCGAATGACACCCGACCAGGGGTCTACCTGCAATAATCAGTTTATCCACACCGACAATCGTTCGTCCACGAAGAAAGACCGAGCTCGCCTGGATCGCTACCTACTCTCTGACTTAAGAAACTCTTAACTCAGAGAGTGAGGGACAAACTGTTAGGACCAAAAATCGTCTTCGGCCCAAATAGGAAAGTCGGACCATTTGTGAAGAGAAGACCAGGCCTAAATCCCAAAGAGACCCAATCCAGATTAGTCCCATTCGATACGAGATACGGCCTGTCCAAATCATCTGGGCACGGGCCTCCCAATTCCAGTTCACTTCCTGGGCCTATAGGCGAGTTCCGAGCCCACGACCCACTGATCATATTCCTATTCCTGATCAATCTCCTACTCGAAGTCATTTTCCTGCTCAAAACACTTTCCTACTTGAAGTTACTTTCCTAATCAGGATCACTTTCCTATCTGGACACTGGTAAGACAGCTGACCACGACCCTAATTCTTCTAGGGTTTGCATCAGAGTCACATGAGGACTCCTATTCCCACCAGGATTGGGAAGCCAAACAGTCACTATATAAACAGAGGCCAGCCCTCTCACAAAGGACACACTGCATTACACCTTCACATCCGAAGCTCCTACTTGAGAGCTTTCCATCATTGTCGTAGTCACAGTCTCCGACTAGACTTCCGGTAATCTCTCTACTCCCTAGCTCTCACTATACTAGCCTCTTTCAGCCTTGCTGACTTGAGCGTCGGAGTGCCTACGGCAAACACCACCCCTGTGTTTCCCGTTCGCTTCACGCGCTTGTTTCTCTACGTGTGCAGGTGCAACAGATCGTTAGTGGCATCAACCTCACGGGATCAGACCCCCCTTCCGTACAGGTAGATTTTTACGTCTACAATATTTCTATAGAAGATCAACTCCCTTCCCATCCCAGGGAAAATGTTCAGCATATATTATATATAAAATACGATTCAAATTATTATATAAAATGTTCAGCATAATCATTCCAAGCTGTTCATAATTATTATATAAAATACGATTCAAATAAAACCCATTAACGTTACCAGCGAAAAGCATACATTATTGGTGAAGTGAATCATCACACTAACACAAGCCCCTGTAATGGTGGCCCATTTTTTGTTTTTCATTTTTAATATCTAAAAAGAAAATGGTGAGAGAGCTGATAGATCCTATCCTGTCATGATGATAGTAAGATCTTCGTTGATTACTTACTAGGACTTTGTTTTTTTTCGTTTTAAGAGGAATTCCTCACATCCAATGCAGCTTACAACAAGCACTCGACCGCAAACCACTAGTCGCTTGAGGCCTGTTCCGTCGACAACTGAAAGAGAGAAAACATTGAATTTATCATGGTCGACACTCGAACTTCAAAAAAAAAATAGTCTAACATTGCCGGTTAAGTAACATAAACCCCAATTCCGTGACCGGGAACGTTATAGATGAAATGTATAAGAAGGCGACATAAAATTTCCGATACCAATATGATTACAGTAACATGGAATTCCAATAGTGTTGCTGGTAAAAGTAGCTCAGTATTACCACCAAGCAGGGGCGGATCCAGCCCATGACCCACCTCAATTTTTTTTTTTTAAATACTAATATGTAATTTTGGAATTTTGGCATAGAATATCTCACGTGTGAAATGTTTACCGATATGATTCGGGTCGCATCGCATCACCATAGAATATTTACGAAATCTTTATTGACATGAAAACAAACCAAATCAATTCTTATGAAAAATCACTTTTGTCCTGTTCTAAATGAATAAGACTGCGCTCGCTTTCACGACCATGAACCACCCAATCACCCATTCATCTTATCCAACATCCTCTATATATGTTCAACATTACTAAAATTCTTCGTAAATAATGGAAATGGCAAGACTAATTGCAACGACAACGTTTTCTTTTTACTTTCTTCTCTTACAATCTTCTTCAAACCTCGCACTCTCTCAATCACTCATCAACTTTCTTCCAGGATTCGAGGGGCCCCTTCCTTTTGAACTTGAAACTGGGTACTGTGTAGTTTTTAATGTTATAATCTATCAATGTCTTGCATTAATTAATAATTATTATTTTTTAAGGATTCAGAATGTTATGTACTTTTTTAATTTGTTTATTTTTTTACTGTTACATCGTCAGGTATGTCGGTGTTGGTGAGTCAGAAGAGGTACAGCTCTTCTATTACTTCGTTAAGTCGGAGAGAAATCCTACGGACGATCCCCTTTTGCTTTGGCTAACAGGAGGTCCTGGTTGCTCTGGATTCACAGCTTTTGCTTATGAAATTGGTAAGAGAAGCCATGTTACGCGGAGCATTCACTAAAGAGTAATTGACATATTTCCACCCGAGGTTCAGCGAAATCTAAAGTTGATATCCTTAGTTATATTTATTTTAGATTCTCATCTTTAAACTAACATTGTTAATAACTGTTGAAAGTAGTAAAAAACAGTGAATGAGGTCCATAAGTGAAGATATGAGTTTTGTAGAGAAGATTGTGGGGAATCCAACAGTGGCCTCAGAAGTGATTTTGGACTTCGGAATCAGTAAAAAAAAAAAACCAAAAACCGCCGACTTGGATGCTGCTAACATGAGCTGTATTTTGCTAAAATGAGCCATTTTTAGCCAAAGAAAACGTCGACACACTTTAGCTTGCTAACATACATTGTGCTACAGTGAAAAGTTGAAAACATGTTAAAATAAAAAAAAAAAAACGACGTTACTTTAAGAGTGAAAATCTGAAATAAATGCAACCACAGTATTAACTTAGGATCTCACTAAACCTCGGTGGGAATACGTTGTTTGCTCTTCACTAAATTATTTCTATGTTTGATTTTATATTTTCAAATAATAACAATGATGATGATGATAATAACTTTTGGCTCCTTTCATATAACCAGTTAAAAAGAGTACGTTTTCAGCAAAATGATAGCTCCGTTGAGTTGAGAAGAATATTTTATTTATGAGTAGTAGCTAGCTAAGTGGTGGAAAGTGGTAATAAATATTCATTTCTTTGACTCTGATTTCAACCTTAATTTTGCAGGTCCTGTAAACTTCAAGGTGTTGGAGTACAACGGGAGCTTGCCTACTTTGGTCTTAAATCCATACTCATGGACAAAGGTGGATAATATAGTAGTTTTCATATCTCAGATTGTAAACAGATTAGCTAACTCAGTTTCTCCGGCTATCTTATTTGGAGGTTTTTTACTGGTTTCAGGTGGCCAATATATTATTTGTGGATTCACCTGTTGGCACTGGATTTTCCTATGCAAAAACTTCACTCGCGTCTCTAACAGGTGACTTCAAGCAAGTTCACCAGCTCTGCCAATTTCTTAGAAAGGTAGACTCCTATTTTATATGTACAATATATCAAGTTCAATAAACTAGTTTAAGGGGGGAGCAAGAGCCTAATTGACACTGCTCTTTAAGTAGCTTTTTGCTTCAAGATTCTAGGCTGTGTTTGATTTATTATTTTGGATATAATTTTAGAGATAGTAACGGATAGTTGAATAGAGTGATTATTATAAAGTAAAATTTAAAATTTAACAAAAAAAACCTCTTAGGTTTGCTAATTTAACTAAACACCCTAATATATAAAAATTTTGTAAAATGACAAAAATACCCCTATCCACCTACAGTGCCAGATTCTAACCACCACCGCCATAATCTGGTCAGAATCTGGGGTTACGAGGTATACCGGTCGGATCTAGCTGGACGTGGGTCGATATAGCCTTTTTCGGCCAGATCCATCTGGCTCGACGTCCAAATCTGACCGTCAACGGCCACAAAAGGCCAGATCTGGCTATCGGGTGACGGCCAGATCAATGAATTACCAGCCAGTTTCGATCGTTTGTAGGCCGTTGTGACAGATTCCAGCTACCACCGATGGTGGTTGTCGGAATCTGGCAACTATGAGTGGGTGGGGGTGTTTTTGTTAATTTTTAAACTTTTTTTTTTTGTATTTATAAAATTAATAAACTCAAGGAGTCTAAAAGTAATTAAAAAATATATAATAATATTTCCTAAATAATTAAAAAGATAAATATTTTGAGAATATAATTGAGGATATAGATAGAAATAATAAACCAGATATTTGTTCATTACTTAAACAAGTGAATATATGTAGTATGAAAAAGCTGATAATTTTCTGATTCCATATTAAATCCTGAAGTGGTTGGTGGATCATCCTGAGTTCCTCTCTAGCCCATTCTACATTGGAGGGGATTCATACTCCGGCTTAACTGTTCCAGCACTTGTTCAACAGATTTCGAATGGTATGAATAGCGATAATTCCTTTAGTAGTACTACTCCACACGCAATTACAACTATTTTGTAAGTATTGTCAGATTGGTTCTTTCTATTGACATTTTTGCTTTCCTCTTAAGAGAACAAAATCATGCGGCGACCATGTGAATCATTAATTGTTGCGTCTGTTTAGTGGTCCTAAAAACGTTTTATTGATTGTGTTTCTTAGCTAATTTTCTTCATTAATATATGCAACATTCTTTTATGTAATTATAATCATGCAGAAAATGAGGAAGATATCCAGCCACCGATAAATCTCCAGGTCCGTAATTTTTATCCTTTATTAGGATCAATCCACATGATAGTTTGACAGACACAGTTAATTATTTTGTACATTTTCGGATTTTTCAAGATAAATTATGTATCTGAATGCTTCGAACATGGTCGAAATACTTAACCCCACTATGGGTCTGTAAGGAAATATAATGAGACTAATTTTGAAGAAATTTCTGCTTAATTAGTTACTAATCGACTAGTGTGGTTCTGAAATGGTTTCAGGGATACATTCTAGGGAACCCGTTAACAGAGCCAATTATTGAACAGAACACAGTGATCCCATTTGCTCATGGAATGGGGCTTATTTCTGATGAACTCTATGATGTATTTTAATCTCTCACATCACTTCTTCAATATCCCCAATTAAATTTCATTACTCAGCCAAAAAAAAGTAACATAAACCCCAATTCCGTGACCGGGAACGTTATAGATGAAATGTACAAGAAGGCGACATAAAATTTCCGATACCAATATGATTACAGTAACATGGAATTCCAATAGTGTTGCTGGTAAAAGGAGCTCAGTATTACCACCAAGCAGGGGCGGATCCAGCCCATGACCCATCTCAATTTATTTTTTTTAAAATACTAATATGTATAATTTTGGAATTTTGGCATAGAATATCTCACGTGTGAAATGTTTACCGATATGATTCAGGCCGCATCGCATCACCATAGAATATTTACGAAATCTTTATTGACATGAAAACAAACCAAATCAATTCTTATGAAAAATCACTTTTGTCCTGTTCTAAATGAATAAGACTGCGCTCGCTTTCACGACCATGAACCACCCAATCACCCATTCATCTTATCCAACAGCCTCTATATATGTTCAACATTACTAAAATTCTTCGTAAATAATGGAAATGGCAAGACTAATTGCAACGACAACGTTTTCTTTTTACTTTCTTCTCTTACAATCTTCTTCAAACCTCGTACTCTCTCAATCACTCATCAACTTTCTTCCAGGATTCGAGGGGCCCCTTCCTTTTGAACTTGAAACTGGGTACTGTGTAGTTTTTAATGTTATAATCTATCAATGTCTTGCATTAATTGATAATTATTATTTTTTAAGGATTCAGAATGTTATGTACTCTTTTTAATTTGTTTCTTTTTTTACTGTTACATTGTCAGGTATGTAGGTGTTGGTGAGTCAGAAGAGGTACAGCTCTTCTATTACTTCGTTAAGTCGGAGAGAAATCCTACGGACGATCCCCTTTTGCTTTGGCTAACAGGAGGTCCTGGTTGCTCTGGATTCACAGCTTTTGCTTATGAAATTGGTAAGAGAAGCCATGTTACGCGGAGCATTCACTAAAGAGTAGTCAACATATTCCCAACAAGGTCCAGCGAAATCCAAAGTTGATGTCCTTGGTTATATTTATTTTAGATTTTTACCCTTAAATTAACACCGCTAATGACTGTTTAAAGTAGTTGAAAACGGTGAATGAGGTCGGCAATTGAAGATATGAGTTTTATAAAGAAAGTTGTGAGGAGTTCAACAGTGGCCTCAGAAGTGATTTTGGACTTCGGAATCAGTCGAAAAAAACTAAAAACCACCGACTTGGATGATGCTAACATGAGCCATTTTTTGCTAACATGAGCCCTTCTTAGCCAAAGAAAGCATCGGCACACTTTAGAGTGCTAACGTGCACTATACTACAGTGAAAAATCGAGAATTTGTTAAAATAAAAGAAATTATATTGCTTTAAAAGTGAGAATCTGAAATAAATACTACCAGGGTATTAATTTAAGATCTCGCTAAACCTTGGCGGGAATACGTTTGTTTGCTCTTCACTAAATTATTTCTATGTTTGATTTTATATTTTCAAATAATAACAATGATGATGATGATAATTACTTTTGGCTCCTTTCATATAAACAGTTAAAAAGAGTACGTTTTCAGCAAAATGATAGATCCGTCGAGTTGAGAAGAATATTTTATTTATGAGTAGTAGCTAGCTAAGTGGTCGAAAGTGATAATAAATATTCATTTCTTTGACTCTGATTTCAACCTTAATTTTGCAGGTCCTGTAAACTTCAAGGTGGTGGAGTACAACGGGAGCTTGCCTACTTTGGTCTTAAATCCATACTCATGGACAAAGGTGGATAATATAGTAGTTTTCATATCTCAGATTGTAAACAGATTAGCTGACTCAGTTTCTCCGGCTATCTTATTTGGAGGTTGTTACTGGTTTCAGGTGGCCAATATATTATTTGTGGATTCACCTGTTGGCACTGGATTTTCCTATGCAAAAACTTCACTCGCGTCTCTAACAGGTGACTTCAAGCAAGTTCACCAACTCTGCCAATTTCTTAGACAGGTAGACTCCTATTTTATATATACAATATATCAAGTTCAATAAACTAGTTTAAGGGGGGAGCAAGAGCCTAATTGACACTGCTCTTTAAGTAGCTTTTTGCTTCAAGATACTGGGGTGGTTTGATTTATTATTTTGGAGATAGTATCGGATAGTTGAATAGGATGACTATTACGAGGTAAAATTTAAAAATTAACAAAAAAAAAACTCCCTAGATTTGCTAATTTAACTAAACACCCAATATATAAAAATTTTGTAAAATAACAAAAACACCCCCTCCCACCCACAGTGCCCGATTCCGACCACCATCGCTAAAATCTGGTGGGAATCTGGGGTTACGACGCAGACCGGTCAAATCTGGTCGGATGTGTGTTCATCTGACCTTTTTCGGCCAGATCCATCTGGCTCGACGTCCAGATCTGGCCGTCAACGGCCGCAAAAGGCTAGATTTGGCTATCGATGACGACCATTTCTTTGGTCGTCGTTGACGGCCAGATCAACGAATTACTAACTAGTTTCGGTCGTTTGTAGGCCGTTATGACAGGTTCGGTGGTTGTCGAAATCTGACAACTATGAGTGGATTGGGGTATTTTTGTTAATTTTTAAATTTTTTTCTGGAGATATTTATAAAATTAATAAATTTAAGAGATCTAAAAATAATTAAAAAATATATAATAATATTACTTAAATAATTAAACAAATAAATATTTTGAAAATAGAATAGAGAATATGGATAGGAATAAAAACCCAAACGCACGAGATATTTGTTTATTACTTAAACAAGTGAAAGTATGTAGTATGAAAAAGCTGATAATTTTCTGATTCCATATTAAATCCTGAAGTGGTTGGTGGATCATCCTGAGTTCCTCTCTAGCCCATTCTACATTGGAGGGGATTCATACTCCGGCTTAACGGTTCCAGCACTTGTTCAGAAGATCTCAAATGGTATGAATAACGATAATTCTTTCAGTAGTACTACTCCACACGCAATTACAACTATTTTGTAAGTACTGTCAGATTGGTTCTTTCTATTGACGTTTTTGTTTTCCTCTTAAGAGAACAAAATCATGCGGCGACCATGTGAATCATTAATTGTTGCGTTAGTTTAGTGGTCCTAAAAACGTTTTATTGATTGTGTTTCTTAGCTAATTTTCTTCAATAATATATGCAACATTCTTTTATGTAATTATAATCATGCAGAAAATGAGGAAGATATCCAGCCACCGATAAATCTCCAGGTCCGTAATTTTTATCCTTTATTAGGATCAATCCACATGATAGTTGACAGAAACAGTTAATTATTTTTGTACATTTTCGCATTATTCAAGATAAATTATGTATCTGAATGCTTCGAACATGGTCGAAATACTTAACCCCACTATGGGTCTGTAAGGAAATATAATGAGACTAATTTTGAAGAAATTTCTGCTTAATTAGTTACTAATCGACTAGTGTGGTTCTGAAATGGTTTCAGGGATACATTCTAGGGAACCCGTTAACAGAGCCAATTATTGAACAGAACACAGTGATCCCATTTGCTCATGGAATGGGGCTTATTTCTGATGAACTCTATGATGTATTTTAATCTCTCACATCACTTCTTCAATATCCCCAATTAAATTTCATTACTCAGCCAAAAAAAAAAAAAGTATTTTTGTAGTTTAATTAGTCCGTAAATCTTTTTTTTCCAGTCACTGAAAAGAACTTGTGGAGGACAGTATGCAAATATAGATCCCAGCAATGCAGATTGTTTAAACAATATTCAGGCTTACTATACGGTAAGCACGGCTTGACTTCTTCAATTTTTCAATTATTGGTATTATATAGACATCAACTGTTATCGTTGTTATAGCACCTTGTTTATTTTTATTCGTCTATTAATTACACGAAGTTGATGATGCATGGTTACGATTGGCATACTCAGGCCATTTCAGGAATTCAAACAGCGCATATTTTGGAACCCATTTGTGGATTTGCCTCCCCAAAACCACAAGAGTTTCTTATTGGTTATAGAAGATCTCTCAATCAGCATCCTCATCAAGAGATCCTCGATCCTGAACCGTTTCCTCCTCCTTTCATTGGCTGTCGCGTATGTAATAATATGCCCGTTTTCTACTCCTCCAAATTGGCTTATTCAATATTTTGGGAGATACAAGAATGAAAACTTGTTGCAATCATAATAATTTTTTTCTGCAGAGTTCGTAGCAATAAATAGCAGAACTTTACTGTTTCTTTGGCCTGACATTTTGTGAAGAAATGCACCTTAATACTCTGAAATACTCCAAAATTATTATTATTATTATTATTATTATTATTTGTTTTTTATGGTTTTCAATTTGGTTCGTTCTTGTCTATCTACTATATGCTTTTATTTTGAGTTAACTTTTGTTATTGCAGAGTTATGGGTATTTGCTGTCTTCAATTTGGGTTAATGACAATGATGTCCAGAAAGCACTTAAAATTACAAAGGTATGAGATGTATAGTTGTATACTACTAAAGATTAAAGTCATTGAATAAAACAGTGACATAAAGAAGCATGAGCTGTATTTAGTACAGAAAAATGGAGTGGGGTGGATACGATGCAATTATGGATTACCTTACACAACTGAAATTGGCAGCAGTTTTTCGTATCACGTAAACCTCAGTGCCAGTGCTAAAGGCTACCGTTCTTTAATTTACAGGTTTCACTTGCTTTCTTGCAGTTAGTTTAGTTCCTTATAAGCTTGAGGTATGTAATAGAAAATCGTGTTACTTTTGTTTTTGACTTTGCAACAGTGGTGATCATGACATGATTGTACCATTCTTTGGAACACAAGCATGGATTAGATCTCTTAACTACTCAATTGTTGATGACTGGAGGCCATGGATCCTCCAAAGCCAAGTTGCAGGGTTAGTCTTTTTTCCTTTTTGAACGATAATAGACTCTTGAGATTGAGTTTATTTGACAAAAAAAAAAAAAAAATTGGTAAACCGGGGGTGTTTGATTGACAGATATACTAGAACTTACTCCAACCAGATGACATTTGCTACTGTGAAGGCAAGAAAACTCCCATTTTTTTATTTTATTGTTATTATAACTAGACCAATTGAAGAATAATAATATAATAATTTTCTTGTTTGGATTATCTACAGGGCGGGGGACACACAGCTCCAGAATACAGGCCTGCGGAATGCTATGCTATGTTCAAGAGGTGGATACTCCATGATCCGTTGTAGTCACCTCCAAGTTTAAATCTTAGACCAAAAATACCCAGTTGTTCCAATGTCATTGTGCTATCAGCTCCAGCATCTTATGACAAATATTAGGAGAAATTTATACCTGGTATTCTCCTTATAAAAATATAATAAAATTGGACATTTCTGCCACTAAACAAGAAAATATTGACTAAATTTTGATTTTAACGTGTATGCACCGGGCTTTTGACTTAATGTATCTGACATCAAAATTAAGCTTAATCTGATGGTAATCAATGATCCACCACCAGTTGAGAAAAATTTAACACAAGTGCCCAAAATTGAACATTTCCATTTGAAAGGAACCAAAGGGTTTTTCAAGATTTCAATAGATCCAGAAGATTCTATTTTAATTTTCACGACTCAATAAAATCACTTCCCCGTTTGTCATTTCCAGACAACTCTTAGACGTAGAGTTAAAGATAAAAAGTTACGTACAGCATTGGTTAAGAAAGAGTCCTCACTTTGTCCAAATCTGTCAATTGATTTGAATACACTAGCAGCAGTAACAGCAACCATGTACAAGAAGATAAAAAGAAGAATTTAACGATTTATAAAGGAGAAGATTCAGAGATTCTGAAGTAAGCAGCCTATCTGTAGTAAAAGATAATTGCAGACAAATTTATTGGATCCCTTAGTTTTGGTCTTCAAAAGAAACTTCCTGTGTTAAAACCAATATATATAATATAACCAATACGTTTCTTTTTTCTAACTACTATTAGTTACTTCTTTATGAACAAAACGGGGGTTTGGAGTATACAATGATAAAACCACTTCTGAAATTACAAACCAAGAATTTCAGAACACAGATTTTTTATCCCTTAAATAAACATATGAACTGAGCATACAATAAATAGATGATTGATATGCAAAAGCCCCCATTTGTTGCCACCAAGTAGAACGCCCTTGTAAGATAAGATTGCTTACAAGTCAAAGCAAAGTTTGTATACTCAAAACTTCCACAGGATGCCTCCCCAAAAATCTCCATCTTAGCAATGAAGACATAAATGATCAACAATGATTTTATATTCGTTCAACTACGATACAATATAGTCTACTACTGTGTAACTGGATGTGTGGATAAATTTTGGACCATATAAGAACTCTTTTTACTTATCGTGCAATTCCTTTTTCGGAAGTATATCATGCCTCCTAAATCTCCACCTGAATCTAACGCCTGCAATAAAGAAATATATATGAATATTAAACCATTTCTTTTCTCTGAAGCAAGCATAAATCTGTTATCATTGTGATGGTGATAAGCATATTGCTTGGCATTGATATTAACTTGGATAAAAGTATAAAATGCAATTTGGGAGCAAACCCTATTGATGCATTTGTCTTAAAGACGATATAATATTAAAGGGAAAATTTCAAGTAAATGGATAACTTATGTACTGAGTCAAGGGAAAAATAGTAAGGTAAGATAAAATATCAAGAAAAGTACCATGGGACTTTCTTGAGAATAACTTTAGAACCTCATCAATAATAATAACCTACAGCAAAAAGACAAGATAAATATTAAAATTCTACAATTTAGAAGCAAAATTGTATAAGAAAAATAAAGACATCAATTAGAAGATAAATGCAAATTTACTGCATTGAGTTATGCATGCATGTTGAAAGAATTATTTACAACAAAATCTTAAGTATACGCTGGGCCTGCTATTCAGAGTTCAACAGAACACTCATTGACAATGGGTTTATGGCACAATCATTTGAATTCTTTTCCTCGTCCTCAAACAGGCCAATATACAGTCTCATTACCTACCTCTAATGTTTGACAAAAAGGGACATGTAATTCAAGAAAAGCTAGTAGGGTTGGCAAACCCTCAGCTTAAGCTGACAAATCTTGAACTCCAAGGTTATGCATATATAGTTTCCATCTCAAGCCAACACAAACCAAAGTTTATATCAAATAATTAAACCGGGTGAACATTCATCTCAGCTTCCCAATGTTTTCAACATTATTGAAGGAAATCCAAGCCACTACAGTGATGAATGTTCACAAAATATTGCAACTGTTTTCCAGCATTATGAAGCAAATTATAACATATTTTATCTTTTATCACATTATGAAAGCAGGATCCAAATTATAGCATTAACAAACAAATATCTTAAATAGTAAAATGAGCTAAAGAAAATACATACAGGAAATGAAAGATATAAAACAACTCTCCACTCAGCCCAAGATAATGGTGTTACCTGGAGTACAAAATATTAAATAAAATCAGTTTCTTCGTGAAATGAGAGAAAAATTAATAATTACTTGATCATCTGCTGAGCCAGAGAAAAAGAAAACTTACAGAGAAAAGAATGGATAGTGGCCTCACGTACAATATTAGTATGTGAAGAAGCATTGTCAAAATAATTGAAGCAACAAGCCATAAATTACTCCAAGGAGGGATGACCCTGAAATACATGCATGGTTAAAAAGGGGTAGGGTCAAAGTAGTTTCTCTTATTAAAGAAGGATACTTACAACAGAGACTGATTTTCACTGAGGTTATTCAGAGCATTAAACATCTCAACAACAACAAGCACGGTCATTGACACAGTTGAGGGATGGCGATCCTCAAAGATACTGCATAGGTAAGTTGTTTCCCTTGTTGAGCAAGAGTCAAAATTCATCTGAATAGAATGATGTGATTAGAGTTCCACAAGGAATATTTATGGGCTTGCATAAGCCCATATGCAAAAAAAATAAAAGTAAATTTGGTAATTGCCAATTTTAGAATATCAGTAGCCTGATCATGCACTGATAAAAAATTTAACATTCATTAAAAAAAAAAAAAAAGAGAGAACCATACCAGTTCTGTGTATGGTAGCTTCGGACCACTATCAGAATAAACAAACCACCATACGAACCCCGCAACAGTAGCAAGTCCAACATAAGCTGCATCAAATAATTTGCCATACATGATACACCTATATTGGAATTGTGATGATTGTACAATATTAAGCTAACAATTAATGCAAAACAAATTGGAATAATATCAAATGCTTGTCAGAAATGATTTCAGAGAACATGTTACGTCAAAATCTTATGAATGTTATTTAGATAGGACCCACTAATACAAAATGTATCGTGTGACTATATTGACATTCTACATACTAAGAAAAATTAGATGAAAAGCTTATTTGGTTATGCCATAGTTCATCTTGTGTCTGATATGTTCTTCTATACTCTCCGTTTCATATAGAAAGCCACTTATTCAAGAAAGAAAGTCCTTCAGTTGCTGTGTCTCTTTGGTTTTATGCAGAATAAGATATTCACCCAGAAGGGAACGGAGTCAGGAAAAGGTAGACCACTCCAGCGGACTAAATCAAATAATACGAAGGTTAAAATTATAATACAACAGACTACTAAGACTCCACCTAAAGTCCATTATGTTGTTCCCAGCGAAGATAAAAACCTGTCTTTAGCAACAATATTGCAATTTCGGGAGTCATTGGAAAACCTCTAGTTTACAAAACAAAGCATCCCATACAATTCAGTAAGAGTTCCAGATACTAAGTGATGGCATTTGTAGATACCTCCAATCACCAAATAACGAAAGAACAACCATCCGGTAACCACTGCTTCGCTAACCTGTGGACATCGAGTTGAGTAAAAAATTAAAATAACATAACATAAGAAAATGAGTTTTCCTTTTGTTCATGCAAGAAAAATATCTAATATATATTTAAAATAAATAGAGCATACAACTGAATTTCACACACAACACCAAAAATTTCATAAACATGAATTGTGGTGTGTTAGGATCCCACATTGAGAGGGAAAAAGGATGAGCATGTGGTTTATAAGGGGCACTCTCCCTTGGCAAGCCGGTTTTTCAAGGAGAGTTCTACCCAAGCTCACAAAAGGACCACTGCCCAACCCAGTTCTTATCAAAGGACCATTGCCTAGCCCAAATTTTATCAAAGGCCCACTACCTAGCCCAATTCTTATTAATTTAGGAATGGATTCCTATCAAATGGTATCAAAGCCAAACCCCACCCGAGCCCATGTTCCAGATGGGGCGACCTAGGAAAGAGCTACATGGGAAGGGGCGACCAAGGAGAGTAGGCCACCCAGAGTGAAGCCGTCTAGAGTGGGCCAATGTAGACGTTGGGTCTCGAAGCCGAGCCCATGTTCCAGAAGGGGAGACCTGGGAAAGGGCTACTTGGGAAGGGTTGACCTAGGAGAGTAGGCCATCCAAAGTGAAGCCGTCCAAAATGGGCCAACGTGGACGTTAGGTCTATAAGCGTGGGGGAATATTAGAATCCCATATTGAGAGGGAAAAATAGTGGGCATGTGATTTATAAAGGCCTGGACACCCTCCCTTAGCAAGCCAGTTTTCCAAGGAGAGTTCTATCCAAGCCTATAAAAGAACCACTGCCCAACCCAATTCTTATTAATTTGGGAGAGGGTTCCTATCATGGTGCCAAAAAGATGTGTACAACATTATATCAATGATGCGCTAAGAATCATGTACACCATTTGCAAGCACCAACAGAAAGGCAACTCATAAAGAAAACTACCATAAGAGGAATAAAAAATATAGTGTTATGGCTTGATTATATATTCATATATTAACAAAAGAAAAGAACTGAAAAGTTAGCCACAAACACTTCATACTCAAATGAAATATTCAGAGTTGCACTTGTCCTTGAATTTTAGAAACCACATAAAGGTCAAGGACAATGGAAAAGAAAAGGTTTCAAACTAGTGAAATAAATTGAGCCTTACCACGAATCTAGAGATTAAAGCAATACCTTACGAGGTTTGGCCTTCATGACATCAGAGTCTTGCTTATTAAAACCAATAGCTGTGGCAGGCAAACCATCAGTAACCAAGTTGACCCATAGCAGCTGGACCTGAAAATAGTATTTAAAAAAAATATTATTTATTGGTGATTACAAAGAAAAAAATCATCAGGTCAAGAAATCTGTACTACTACAATTTTTAAGGCCAGAAAAAAAATTTAAAAATTAAGCGATAGCTCTTGAGAAGGATAAATTAGTATCCTTTTACTCATATACCAGATCAAATTATTCATCACCGCCAGCTGTGGAAACATACTGAAGATATTATTTTCAGCATTTGAAATCAATTTGGATTGTGTTCTGGTTCAGGTTTTGGG